TTTTTGGTTGTGTGTATGCGCACCAGGCTGCAGAACAGCTTATTGATGAAAGAACTGTGGACCAAGACGACAAAGCAGCTGGAACTGATGAGCAAGCAAAACCCGGCCCATCCTCTCATGTACAAGGAAACGCTGTCCAGTTTGCACAACGGTAGGCTCCCTTCTCCTTTCTCAGTTGATTTCAGATAAGTCAGTCATTAGTGTTAGAATACAACATTGCCAGCTTGATCTTTGTTAAACTGTATGGTACACTCTCTATCTACCCCTCTCATGACTGAGCAGTATCATACCACTGGCTAAAGGACAGTTTGCACCATGTTGTGTATCTCTAGATCTAAATACCCTGTTCAGCTTCTTTTTTCTTGTCCGTAGCTTATCTTCCAGTAAATATTCAGTTATCCAGAGGGCCAGGCTAGAAGTGGCCTTCAAAGCCTTGGCTGCAGCTTCCGAAAACACATTTGCTCAGTTGGAGGAAGAAGTGGAGAGAGAGGCGCGGGAAAGAGAGGATCTTGGCTTGCTACGCCCTGACCCTAAGAGGGGCACCAACCTGGACTCAGAGCCGGAAGGGCTGTTTCAGAGAGACTCAGGCAGCCCCTTGGAAGCTTCCCCAGCAGACCTACCACCACAAACAGATGCTGCTTCTCATACTCAGGCATGTTCCATCTCAAAGACACCCTCTGGTCTGTGGAGCGGCCAGCTTTATACTGTGCCACGGCTGGTGGTCGAACCAGACAGTCAGGTAAGCTCCCAGTGCACAACAGCTTCTCTGGAACAAGGGCCCGACGTCAGAACAGAAAAGCCACCAAAGACACTGACTAGAGCCAATAAAAAAGACCTGCAGTGCCCAATTACAGACCGCGAAGTTGACATGCCCATGCGAAAGTGCCCCAGACGATCCAACAGAAAGTACCGCAGGTAAGACAGATTTTCTTGCTGATGTTCGCAATCACTCTTTATTAGGCTACACATGAAGTTTCATAAGGAGCCGGTTGATTGTTGTCCTGGTTTGCTCGGTGGGCATAAAGAATTAAAAGTGCTTGTTTTGTCATGCAGAGTTTCAGCTAATACATCTGAGCTGTCAATAGACAGTACGGAGGACTCCTCTGACTCTGTGGCCGACATGGAAAGTGATGGCAGGGAACTCCACAACCAGTCAAACAGTTCATCCAAAAGGTAAATCCAAATGTTCAGCATCACCTTACACAAGCCTGACACAAATTACTACTAAAGATTCATCGCTCTAGGCTTACTAGACTGATAACATAAACTTATTGTTTGTTGTAACCAGAACAGACATATTACTCATACAATATAAAAAGATGTGATGAAAAATAAATATTGTTAGACTTAAAAGTTTATTTTTGTTGTCCAGAACCAATCTATGGAGAGCCTTCACCACCCTGCACTACCTTGTTTCCACCCACTGTAGCTTTGTGTGGCTTCAAGTATCAGTACTGTTGCTTTAGCACTTTACTTCAGTTATGATTCACTTTTTTTTTTTCCTTTATAAATACACATTCTGCAATTACCTTGACTCGTTTAAACTGATGAAGAGTAAAGCATCATTTCAATCAGCCGTCAGTAAACAAATTTCTCCTTTCCTGGATAATGATTAACTTAACTCTCATCATGCAGAAAGTGCAAGAGGCCAAAACGGTTATCATCAGACAGCGAGGAACACCTGCTGCAGCTGTCGGCCTCCTCCGACTCTTCAGGAGATTCTCCGAGCAAGCAAGTGCACACATCATTCATTCAATCTCAGTATTTTACTCGATGATTCAAGGACTGACATTTGACAAACTTTATATACGCAGGGATCCAGGTAATGTGGAGGACATCTGCACCACAGACTCGTCACTGGAGAGCTCACCCAGTCGTCACACTGGCCCTCAAACAAGCTCTACTCCTCACAAGGACTCAGCTCAAAGCAGTCGTCCTTCCCATTCAAAATGGTTAGTGAAGATAACAGCTTTAGCTAAACGTGGATTTACTCTTCTGTTGTGGATGAACCCCAGAACAATAAATAGAACTGGGGGGGAAAATCATCATCTCAACCATTTTGGGTCTAAAAGAAAATCAGTTTTCTTTTTTAACTGTCATTTTGAAGTTTCTGTCAAGTCACAAGGTTGACGTATACATTTGCATTTCCGTTTTTATTTTGAAGTGTCTGAATTTGCAAAAGTTAAACATTGTGATTTACTTTTTTTTTTAAAGTATTAAAAAGAGATTTAGTGTGATGCTTCCTAAAATAAATCATGAGATCATTTATGTCTTCATTACAAAAACGCATCAAAACTCAACTTGGCCCTTTTTGTTTTTCAGTGACACTGAACAATCAGCATCAAACTGCTAAAAAAAAACGCTCTTGTTTTTGTTCACAGGAAACAACTGTTCGCTAATGCAAAAGAAAGCAAGGACACATGGACCGATGAGGATTCATATTTCACCTCCGCAAAGAACAGTGGTAGTAAGTGATCACATATTTGTAATTAATTCTGTGTGAATCTAGTTGTGAAAATCGTATTCATTTCACACCTTATTTTGTTTTTCCCCACAGGATCGAATGAGAGCGTCGTTTCACATTCAGGCCAAAGGAGGGTAAGCATGACAAGAGCAGGCAACATTCAAAAAGTAAAATATCAATTCACAAATCGATTAAATTCACCAAACATTAAAAGATAACAGATTGTGACACTGCTTGTGTTCAAAAAGTAGCGGCTTTCCAACCAGCTGTCCGATTAAAGCTCTACACAAGCAGACTTCTAAGTGTAGTGCCACGTTACGCTGCCATGCACCACAATCAACGACAAAGCATTGTCTTCAATGTTGGGCTTCTGTGTCCCAGTTACAAAGAGCCAAGTAACCTTCTGTTCCTTTTGTGTTGCAGACGTGGACTGAGAAAGAGACGCAGAACTTAAAAGACGGAGTCAAAACGTTTGGAGAGGGCAACTGGAAGCAGATAAGGTCATATTATTCCTTCAATGATCGAACGAACGTCAACCTCAAGGACCGATGGAGAACATTGAAGAGGCTAAACATGGTCTGACGTCCTCAAAAGAATGTTATTTCCAGTTATTTTCCTTACCGAGTACCTTTTTACACGTTTAATCATGTTAAATGTCAAGCTAATTAAATAAATTGACATGTTTTACAATTCTAAGATTAGTTGTTGCTTTGTTTTTTAAATGTTATGAATGTTTCTTCACTGAAAGCCCTCCAAGACTAAAATAATACAAAGATGTCACGGATTTATTTGAAAAAGGACATTTACAAGAGACGTGCACACAGAAACACACCCCCTTCATTTAGACAACATTTGAAACAAAGGATGAGGGAGAGTATCAGGCGGCTCTGTATGTTGCAAATTAACAGTAATTTATGTTGAGTGTTTCAGTCCTTTGAGTGCAGGGGAATACAGTCCAACCATGGAACTATAGAATCTTCAGTGGTGAAAGTAAGCAGCTAAAAAAACAAGCTGCGCTGGCTGTGGATTTCGATGAATGTTGACGGGTATGCAACAGGGAACAAAGATTTTGACAGTCCAGTTGTTTGCAGCATCTTTATGTTAATGCGTCTTCATTCCTGATGAACTCTCCCACATCTGCCTGGTGGAACACTACAATGGACATGGGGTCCACTCGCCGACACTCCTGAGTCGTCTTGGCTGCCACTCCAAAACCCTGAGAAACAAAGACGAGGGTCAAAATCTCTTTTGTCTTGTTTTTTTTTAACAATAACCTGACATTACTCTCCTTTTTCTACATACACACAGGCTATACGAGGCGTGTCAGAAAAGTTCCAGGACTGGTGTCACAAAAGATATATTTCAAACTACCAGCTTTCTCCTTCAGACGATCAACCAGCACGTCTACAAAGAGATCCTGCGGTGTTTGCTTCGTTCAGTGCGCGAGAAGAGGCGAGAGTTGTGGCAGAACAAGTCATGGCTGCTTCACCATGACAACGCACCTGCTCACAATGCCCTGAACATCCCACAGTTCCTGGCTGAGAAGAACATCGCCGTGCTGGAGCTACCTCCCTACTCCCCATCACCTTTTTTTGCTCTTCCCCAAGCTCAAGGGGGTCATCAAGGGGACCCATTTTGAAGACGTGGACGACATCAAGATGGCTGTGACGACGGAGCTGCGGAGGATCCTGGAAGAATCCTTCCAGGAGTGCATGGTGGCGTGGCAGAGAAGGCTGAGGGAGTGTGTTAGACTCCAGGGGGATTACTTGGAAGGGGAAAACTTGTAGTTTGGGTTTGAAATATATATCTTTTGTGACACCAGTCCTGAAACGTTTCTGACTCACCTCGTATGTGTGGATACAATAAATTCAGGAATGATACATCATTGTGAAGTAGTAACACACCGTAGCATATCTAACGTCACTTTGCAGAATATGCTTGTTTTCCCCCCAGCATAAGTGGCCCCACAGAGAATATCTAAGTCCTTGTTACACTGAGAACACAGTGACGGAGCATCACAGTTAACGTGACTTACCAGAGGCACGTCAGCCATGGAGTAAACCACAACTCCCTGATACTGCATGGTGTTCTCGGTGATTCTCCCGAGGCCTGATTTTAGCACGTGGTTCCCGTACAGGAAAGACTGCTCTGCTCCAGGTTTCACCCACACCTTGAACTGGAGATATGACAGTTTCAAGTTATTCCTACAAGCATGAATTATTAAAAGTTTTAACAATAAGAGGGAAAAGAACAATGGCACTTGTACGCATGAGCTACTAGCCAGTAAGTCTCAACAAATCATTCTAACCAGAGGGCAGAGACTTCACATTAAACTGAAGTAAGACTGTCATGATATTTAATGTTCACTGTTTAGCTAAACATAGAACTAATATCACAATGCCAGGATATCATTGGTAAACAAGCATACAAAGAGCAGCAATATAAGTTAATTTAAGTTCTTGCAGTGTTTTCCATCCAAAAAGCTGAACAGACTACTTTTATATTGACATTTAGCTTGCTTTAATATTCCATTAAACGAAGAGCAGTTTCAAAATATCCACATAATTAAGAGCTACATGTGGAGTATGTCCAGATGAATGAACTTGAGAAGCGGTGTGGAGGTGTAACCATCAGGGAGTTGACTCATACAGCAGGACTGAGTTAACTGGTTAGGCAGAGAAACGTGGACGAGCTCTTTATCCTCGCTGGGTATTGGTTGGCAAAATTATGCTTAGCTTGCTTAGTTAATCCCAACTGATGAGAGTTTCTGTGCAACTCAGTTACAGCAACTGTACGTCTGCTAAGCAAGCTTCCATTTCTAAAAACGTTCAAATGGTATAAAGGGCAACAAATAGGGGTTTCACATTAGTGACTGTAGCTTTGGTTGTAGCTGGTGAATGATATAGAAAAATAAAAAATCAACCAGCAATGCCAAAATACAAAAGCAGCTACAACATCAGGAAGATCAGACCTTTCCTGTCTGAACATGCAGCACAACTCCTGGTATAACCTCTAATAATAGCACGCATTGACTACTGCAGCTCCTTACTGGCAGGCCTCCCTGCATCCACGGTCAAAGCTCTGCAGATGATCCAGGATGCAGCAGCACGTCTGGTTTTCAACCAGCCAAAAACAGCACACGTCACCCCGCTGTTCAGATCGCTTCACTGGCTTCTAGTTGCTGCCTGCATCAAATTCAAAACCCTGACACTTGCTTACAGAACCACAACGAGATCAGCTCCCTCCTACCTGAACACTCTCATTCAGATCTACACTCCCTCTCGCTCACTACGCTCGACCAACAAAAACCCCCTGATACAACCACCGCCACAGGCCCGAGGTCGACAGCTAGACTCTTCTCCTCTGTGGTTCCGCGGTGGAGGAACGAGTTACCAAACTCTGTTCAATCTGCTGACTCCCTCTCAGTCTTTAAGAAAAGACTAAAGACCAGCTCTTCACTGAACACCTTTGCACTTGACTGCCTGAAAACAAACAAAAAAACAACAACAAAAAAATCCTATTACCTCCCACACAGCTTGCTATTGGCATCAACACCCTATCACACTTGATCTATGGCACTTATCTAGATTGTTTTCTCCTGACTAGATCCTTGCTTGTGTTGTATCTGCTCTCAGATCGCTTTGGATGAACGCATCTGCTAAATGAAATTGTAGAATTGTAGCTCCTTGTGTGCAACTCGTGCTTAGAAACATGACGACTGTTGGTGGTGGTCCTCAGCTGCTCCGCTGGCGTACAATGTGCCACTTGTGAACAGGCTGTTAGATTTCAGTATATACATATGATGGTATGCAAGTCCTGCTTTAGTTTAATATCCATATTAGAGGTATGCTACTGTTACTGTTTTTCAAAGAAGACATTTTGGCCTGGAGAGAAAGGCAGAAGTATACAAAGTAATGCCTTCTACTGCAGTATCGGAAACAAGTCGCTGCTTTGTTCGACTGACAGCCAGCGCCTGTCAACAAAGGTGTGAATAGAACACCAGTGACATGCTTTATGTGGTTCACATAGCAGCCATATACTAGTCAAGTGTACACAGGTTGATAGTCGTATCTGATTGGCTGATGCTCTATAAAGGCAGCCTGCCATTACAGTTAGTATAAATCAGTGCTTTACTCCAGAGTACGCTGCTTTCCCTGCGAGCTTTTGAGATCTTCTGGCAAACGCTCATCTGACATCAATTCAAATTGAGGCTCTACTGGAAAGCACCTGCTACTTCACTAATACCACCTGTATTGGTTCAACTTCCTCTCTGACACCAGCCTCCATTTATTAGGACCTATAGAAAGAGTCAGGGATGCAAACATACAAATGATATTAAAAAGAGGTAGGTGTAGTCACCTTTGCATAAGGAGCCAGGAAATCCAGGGCTGTGATGTGCAGGCGGAACTTCTTGGTCTTTGTGAACTTCCCGAAACACGTACCCACCGACATGAGCTTGTCCCGGGAAATGTTTGTGGCCAACTTAAGGATTTTCTCACTGTGGAGATAAAACAATGATGCATGAATTTCTTAACGTATTGAATGCTACCCAGACATAGTACACAACAGAAATGAGTGCTGTGTCACTTTGCTGTCAAATGATTCAAGACTTTACCACCTTACAATAACTGCATTACTGCTAGGTTGAACAGAATTAATGCAACAAAAGGTAAGTACACATTTAAGTACCGACATTTAAATCTTTATTTTTTCAATACTCAGCATGTCCAACTGTATTTTTAATTTAAGACCCAATCTGCCTCAGCATGAAGGAAAACAGTGTGACACATATTTCCAAACACATGTTCTGTCATTCATCAGATACAAATTATTTTAGCGGCTCTGTCCCAGAGGGCTGTGTCTCTAACTCTGTCCCTAATGCTCCAAAAGTGTTTTAATAGATTCATGTCAGTGAACATACTTTGCCAGCTCGTAGTTTACACATTTTTCTGCTTTAGAAGCTCATTATCATGCTTAAATGTCTCTTTGGCCAAACTTCCGCACACTGGAGGTCATCTTTTGGTATATTTTTTCCACAAGCGTTCATACTGCAGTCTATAAAAGTAATCTCCCCAACACCTTTGGCACTCATGTAGCTCCACATCATCAAACTCCCACGTCCATGCTTTACTGTTGGGACTATGTATTCACTGTCGCAATCCTGGTTAGGTTCACGCCTAACATGCTGGATCCATCTGAGCCAAACAAAGTTATGTTGGTCTTATTTTAAAGTAGAATACGCTTCGATTATTCATCAAGCTCCTTTTAATGTTCTTCAGCAAAGCTTAAACTTGCAGTTCTGTTCCAAACAAAGTAAATCTGAGCTTTCAAAAAAACTAATTTCTATCAATGTGCTAAGTCTGAAGCACTTGCCTGTGTGTTTTTCAGAGCTAGATTTGGCAAGTAGCCACTGTGCATGGTGTCATTTTAGAAGGACAATTACTGCAACTCTGATTAGTGGTACTATGACTCGTTCTACACCTCCTGATTAGTCCTGCATTTGCGTTTCAACTGATTTTTAGTTGGTCACCAACTCTCCTGTGTCTTTTCCATCATACTGAAATTCTTCAGTTGTTCTTTTCCATGTGGAGCCTTGATGCAGACATGCAGATAAACAGAGCAGCACACAAGTCCACAACTAAGTTCTGGTGTTCACAGGTCACTTTATGACCATGTCAGTGGTTTACAGCTGATTGGGGATCACATGTGTAGTCAATTTTGATTCAATAATGACAGAGTTTCTAAGTTGTCAGTGATCACATGTGTATTCATTATTCCTGGATCAAGTTTCTATTTTGAGGTCTGTATTTTCTGTCTAAAGTCAACGTTCATGATTGTTATTATGAGGAAATGCTCTATCTGTTCACTTCAAAGTAATGCAGTTATTGAGAGGTGATTCAGTAATGCATTTAAGTGATATTAAACTTAGTGTAAACACTTCTATTGTACAGAGTAGGTTTTTCAAGGATTACCTCATGTAGTACACGCGGTCATTGTGTAGCCTGAAGCAGTAGGTACCGTCTGGTCGGTCCACAAGAAGCTTTATGTTTTCACCGATGCTGTTGTGGGAGAAAGCATGGGCATCACACACAGCACACGCTAACAGGTATGCTAATCATTTTGGGTTTACTTTGAACGTATACGGGCTCACAAAGTTCCCTTCGCGCTTACTTACTATTTCGACAGCTTCTCAAACATCGTTTTCGTCTCTTCCTCCGTTAACGGCCTCATATTTATTAACTAAAGTCGTGTTTTTCGCAGTGAAGACCTCCTGCGAGAAAAACGTGGATCAAAACGGAAGTCGTCACGCTTGAACGCGGACGTCGTGTGACGTACGCAGTGAGCGCAGTTCCTGGTTTTTTGCATTCTTTAGCTTTCAGTCGGTCGGACGCTTTTCTCCGGGAAACCGGCCACCACCTGGTAAGCTTATTCACTTTAAATGATTATAAATCTTAGATTAAAAAAGTAATATGTAGTTTTCAACAGCAATGTGATTATTTATGTGTTTTATATTTCGTTTTTGTTGAATATTGTAGCCTCAGTTTTCGAAAACGGGCTCAGTTAGCTTGGTTAGCTAGCTGTCAATGGAAAAAAACACAGCCCTGCTGCTGTTAGCGAGCTAGTGAACGTTAGCTAGTGAGCTAACTGTGTTAGCAGCTGGTAATGCTACCTCTGATTCGCTGCAGGCAACGACCCCGATCTACTAAAGCTACTCAGTTGAAATCAATCGTGAACCACTGCGTTAACATCGGTACTTGTGTTGAAATGCGCCCAGTTGTGACTCAACTTGGACTCGGTGTGTGAAGAGTCTTTGCCGCAGCGGGGCGAAGTTACATAACGTCCATTTGTTTGTAAATACCGCGTAATCCAAGATCAGAGGCAGAGTGACTTAATCCTATAAGGATTTCAGATGTCATTTAGATCAACATTAAGCACCTCTGCAGTCATCCTCTGCCACCTGATAACGTGATTCACCTGCACTGAGCGCACAGTAGCAGTTCAATGTCAGCGATGTGTACCGTCAGCTGCAGAGTCAGTGACTGGGAAATCTACTTTGTCAGCGGGCTCTTTGCGTTTGGCAGATCATTTTATCCTCCTGTCACCTCCTGTTTGACAGCAATAATGGCTGGAAAAATAGCCTGATCCTGTTTCTCTGATGCTGCCAAGTTAAATTATAAACACCAAAGCCACTGTATTGACACACAGGCCACTTTGAAATATGTGATCGGACTGATATTTCTTAATATATTCCTACGTTTCGACATGAGTCATGTATGTTTATCTTTATACCCTTATAAGCTTGTACTTGCACTTTAGTAATTTTTTAAAGAGTCCTCTCTGAATTATCATGTTAAATGTGTAGTTTAAAGTCTCTTTTTTAGGAGGATTCTTTTATATTTTCATGTGAAGCCACAGAGCTACAGCACTGTGCCCAGGACTATTTTCTGCTAAAGGACATTTAAGTTTCGAGTTTGAGATAGCCCTACAAGTCAGTTAATCCCCGTGTCCAGCAAATACAGTCAACCTAAAACATTTCTGTGTGTAAAACTACAAGTACTTACGACGTGTTTGTGTCTGCACTGTGGCACTGAGCATTCTAACACATACACACAAATCTTCTATATGACAAGTGTCATCTTGGGCCAACCTCTGGAGATCACATGCTCCTAAGTGAATGCTTCTGTCCTCCAGTGTAGGATGTGTTGTGTTGCAACACAACATGTGAAGCAGTAGCAGCATAGGCATTTCCCGACATTTTGTCAGACAATGCTCTCAATGTGCTATTTCTGTTGTCCTACTATTGCAATAAGCCTTTAAATGGTTTCAACTCGAGGGGGGGGGGGTGTTAATTAAAATGGATACCTCATCAGGACTGCAGTGCTTATAACAGCATGCTGAAAGCTGAAACATAGGCTGATCATTGACCCTGAGAGTCCATAGTTATATTCCTAAGCTGTATTGTTTACCACAAGAGATGACCCACAAAAGCTAAAGTGATACTGATCAATTGGATACAACGGGTGACTGCTCGAGATCCTTTACTCAAAGGCACCGTGTGCACTGACCTATTTTCTTTACTATGACTTAAGATTGTAAAGGATTAGAAGAGGCACAAATATTTGCATATGTGCAAACACATTTAAATTTGATGTCAGTTTTTCATGCTAAAACCTTCAAGATTTTTTTTTTTTTGTCGAGGAAGTACCTGAAAAATATACCATAGATGTGTGTGACTGCATTTAGATTTGCCAACGAAAAAAGCTTTAGAAACACTTCTGTTCACATCATTAAATGCGTTTACACTGACTGAACGACTACAAAAAGTATGATGATTAGAAAATGTTATTTTTTTATTAAAAGTTCCTCAGTGTAGTGATATAGACCTACTTAATTGTTAGCTATGGAAGCTACAGTGAAGTGCTCACAAGCTGCTGTTTCAACTCTATGGCTGGAATTATAGCTAATTTGATTTTTTAAAAGTCGACATATGATGATGATATTTTTTTTTTCTGCTTTGTCACCACGTGAACAGGTGTGTGCTGCCCTGTGTTGGGAGACCACTTCTTGTGCCAGAGGTTCGCCCCAGACAACCCAGTGTCCTGTGCCTGTCGTCAGTTTCCGGTGCGTGTTTGTGACTCTGGTCGCAGTGAACAGGAAGACAGACGCAAAGAAAACGTCTGAGCTGAGAGAGGAAACTGCTGCGGCTTCTACATCTGCCTCAGAATGACAGAGTTCTGGGTTTGTTTCAGCTGCTGCATTGCAGAGCAGCCACAACCAGTGAGTGGGAAATTTACTTGGAAGAGTCATTTTACGGTTACTTTACCAGTTACGCTTTTTTTATTTTTTCAGTGAAGCCGCCTTGTTTGAGCGGAGGCTGGTATGAAATGTGTTTTTAGGTGGATAGCAGGTTAATAAACAGAGCTGTGTCGTCTGGTGTTACGTAGAATGCTGACACATACAGCTTCCATTTTAGTTAAGTCGTGGTTATGGTGACTATACGCTATTTTAAAATCTAGTTAAACACATTGTTGTTATGCCTGATAAAACACACATTACATCCTCTTGTGACATCCACATTACAATAATGTTTCACAGTAGAACTGAGTATTTGATCTTCAAAGATATTTTAGGTGTGGTCTTAAAGTTTACATAATTGTTCTATGATACTCGTTTTCAGAAACGGCGGCGACGGATCGATCGCTCCATGATCGGGGAGCCAACAAACTTTGTTCACACCACACATGTAGGCTCAGGGGACATGGGCCTGGGATTGGCATCGGTACGTTTTTGTTCACTTTTCAGAACGTTCAGGTTACAAAGTAGAGCAAACATATGTTGTCAGTCTGTAACATTTACACCTTCTTGTAGGTGGACCTTGTTCAGGCCCAGATGAAATCGAAAGGGGGCTACGCGCATGGAGGTTCTGAAGGTTCTCAGTTGTAACGAGGTGAGAGACGCTGCGTCACCCAGTAGTGAAAGTAGCATTCAGGTAGCCACAGAATCTTCACTACCCCAAAGCCCTGCTCAGATTTGTTTCATGCAAATGGCAACTCGTGACTGATAGAATGTCAAGTTTCTTTTTGAGGGAAATGTTTAGTTACCTGGAGGTTTTGTGTGTAAAGCAAAGAAAATGTTCCTTTGTGACATTTAACAGAGCAGTGTAGCATATTTTTAAAGCTCACAAGCCAACTGCAGTATTTAATCTGGTCATTTTCTATAAACCTACTTCCTCATTCTTCATAATATAAAGCAGGTCACGTAAACAGATTAAATAAGAAATCATGACCTGTTGAAATTCCAGACTTTGGCCTCTCTCTCTTTGGTGAGAGAGAACACCAGTGGTTAACACCTCCCAGTAACTCCACCCATGTCGTGTCAAAACAAATGATGGCACACACATCATGCTTAGGCGCAGCAGCAGCAGGCTTCTGTGGCTTTGAGAGGAAGCTAGACAAACGCTGCACAGCTTATATTGGTACTGTATTGTACTGTCGTCATGTGTTGGGGGATTTCCCTCCCCCATGACAGAATCATTCCCCCTATTTCCTCTTGATTAGTTTTATTTTCTTGATAACCACTTCACTGTACCTCGTGAGCATGACTCAGCTGTGAGTAAATGAGTGACTTTCATTTATTTATTTAGCCTCTTTTGTTCGATCCGACACAGGCCTGATTTTGGCGGCGGTGCGGCTTTATGCCAGCTTCAGGCAACTGGTTAACTGTTAACGTTGCACCTCGCCTTGTTTTTAAACTCCCACTCAACGTTGCCATGGTCACTTTCACATTTTTCAGACCCAGTCACTCCGTAAGTGACGGATCAAGCCCAATGATATGAGGCATGTTTGGGAAGTAAAGACAATAGAAAGGACCATAGTCAGCACTCTGTCCTCCTCAAAGAGTAGATTTGACAACGCAAACCAAGCCAGATGTGTGTGATGTGGGTGTGACATACGCCCTCTCTAACAGCAGCATGCCAGATCTTAACATTTGTCTCACCTTTTCCTCCCACAGCTCTTCAGTCTTGTGGAAACTACTGTTGTCAATATGAGGAAGAATTTTCAAAAAAAACAAAAGCAGTTCTGTCTGTAATAGACACAGGACCAAAAGATGAAACTACTGCTTTTCCATAATGTTGTATATATTTTTATTTTCCATTCTTTCTTTTTTTTTTTAATGAAAGCACTGCTATCCATTTGCTGCCATACTGTTGCACTGTAAAGAGTAACTGTTCAGAGTAGATAAGAGGGTATAGGAAGCTCATAATCTCAGTCAGACGTATGCTTGTGTGTATGCATGAGGAAAATATTTTCAAAATATTTGCTGTTGTAGCCCATTTGGATGCCTGTATTTATTATCTGATTTGTAAACGGACCTCATGGTGGCTGGGCCACACTGGAGATTTGGAACTTTCAGTTTCCTTCTTTATTCTCAGAGGTTTTATCAAAGGACAGGTAGCGGTAGCAAGGCAAAAATGTTCGTTGTTTTATTCTGAGAAATACTCACGATTCTCTGAGTTGCTTTCAGGGTTGAAGATTGCTGTTTGTAATAAACTTGAAATGAGTAGAGTACACTGGACCACACATTGTACACTCACACTTGCTTAGGAATTTCGCATTGATTTCAACTGTTTTTTTTTTTTTTTTATACTCATTTAAGTTGAACCATATAGAATTTTAATAAACAATGAACTTCCTGATCTGCCTTCTGAAGTCATGTTTGTTGCTTTTTTGTTGTTGTTTTTTTAATTTACTAGAGCGATTTGCTTGACGCTGCAAGTACTAGTTTAGTGGTTTTTAGAAGATTCATATTTTTACATTTTGTCTTTTCAAAGCTTGTGTATCAACAGTAGGCCAAGAATTCAACTTGTGTCCAAATCATCAATGCAAACAGTGCCACGAAGGTGGGTTAGGTTCAGTAGATTTGCCAGAATTCATTCCCCTCCTCTACATCCATCATATCCTTTCTGGATGCAGCTCTTTCCTATTCCCCCGGCACACATTGTTACACACTGTATTTTCAACTATTGTTTGATTAACCCACCATTTGCGCGGAGATGATTTTGTCCTCCTGCAGGTCCGAGCAGTTCTTTGTAAACTCAGCTGCCATGACGGATGCTGTTAAATTCATTTGGCCCACCTTTGTAGCAGTGTTTGTGATTACGTTTAAAATGATGGTTTCATGTGATGTTCACATTATTTTGTCCAAATCACCAAAAAAAAGTACTTCTGTGGACATTAAGTTATTTCCAGTTTGGCAGTTTTTCCTGTTTGTGCAAATGCTTTACCCTTTTTTTCTTCAAGCACATGTGATTTTTTTTCTCTCTTAGGGAGGAAAAGTAAATAGATGCAGCTCTTATTGCCTGATTATGCTGTTTGTCAGATAGTGATCAGACTAGAACTAATGCCCTTTTAGTGTCATGGACCTTTTCATCTTCCAGTTGTGTCACCAAATTCTAAATCAGGATCCAATGAAAATATGAATCGGAGAGGTCAGAGGTGGTTGAGCAAAACCAGCAGGCCTGGATCCTCTTAACACACGTGATTGTCCCTCATGTACGTCCTATGATTGACTATTTCAACAACCAAATGTGTTGAATGTATTAATTCCAGCATGTAGATCGGTGTTAAACGAGTGCTATTGTCAAAGTATACTATGGTGCAAAGTGAATGAAATTTTTGGGTGTTGGTACCAGGAATCATAAAATACTCCTATTGATAAAATCACATTTGTAATGTCATTTACAGCCTTAACCCTCCTGGTAAACCCCCCTTATCCTATCATTTCCTTTTTTGATTCGTCAGGTTAAAATACTGTCCCATTGCTCTGTTCCTGTTTAAATGTCTCTGTAGTAATTCCTGTGTGAAGACAGATCCACATATATGTAGACTAGATTGTTTTTTTTCTTTTCCTTCCCCGACTCGGGGCTAAATGCTGTAGTACATGCAGTCATACTGGGATTGCAGTATATTATGTGACCAGCAGGCTGTGCAAGTGGACTGGTTGAATGTGACTTTAACAAAATCGTTTCATTTTGGGATTCCTGTCATAGCACATATTTTATGATGATACTGTAAATTTGTAATGTGTAAAAGTGATGGATCCATGGTTTATTCAGAGTCATACATATTTTTGGGTACTTTTCTGTCTGATAATACAGGGAAAGTAGAGTTGGCACAGTGTTTTGTTTTTTTTTTTTTCCTCAGGATCTGCCTAATATGTAGTTCCCGCTTTAAAGGGAAGTTCATCTGTCTTTTTCTGCATTTTTCAGAATAAACAAATAAATGTTATCTGTTGATGTTTGACCAACTGTGTATTCCATGTTTTGTTTTTTAACTTCGGGAGGATCACACAAAGGAAAGTGAAAGCAGTTCACAGATTTATGATCTAATACAACAATGTAAAAAAAAATACTGCAGAGAAGTGGCTCCTGTGACTCATACATTATTTTATATTGGATCAGGTGGAGCTTGTTTAGCTTGTTTACTCCACTGGACTCCTCTTAAGGGCCCTCAAGCTAATTCTCAGGCGTCCCAAATGATTAATGAGAGAGAAAAGAGGAAAAAAAGACTTGTTACACAAAACTGCTGCCTCTGTGAGACCTAATTTGTTTTTTTTGTAAACTAAAAATGACTTGTGTATTACTAGATATATGAAATGTAACAATAAGAGAGGAGCAGGGCCAACATTAGACCTTCCTTCACACTAATACTGATGTTTTAACCAAGAAAAAAGGGCTCACACAAACATCATTTTAAAAAATGTGCTCCGTACAAACAGCAACACATAAATACTTAGGAATGCTCTAACAAGCATATCAGGCCAGACGACATCAAATACCAGACATGACTGTCATTTCATTGTTTTGGTAAATAAACAGCATTTGCGGTTTAATGTCTGTCTCTCCTGCAACGTAAAGTCAAAATATCTTATTAAAAATAAAAATTTAAAAAACGGCCTGTACCGTGCAAATACAAATATATACACTGCCTGGCCAAAAAAAAAGTCGCCACCTGGATTTAACTAAGCAAATAGGTACGAGCCTCCTATTGGATAATTACTGCATGGGCGATTATCTTTCAGCTGGCAACAAGTTATTTAACCCCAACTGGTGCAATGACTTGCTTCTCATTTCCTAAACAACCATGTCGAAAGACACATCCCGTGGTCGTGGAAAAGATGTTAGTCTGTTTGAGAAGGGTCAAATCATTGGCATGCATCAAGCAGAGAAAACATCTAAAGAGATTGCAAAAACTACTAAAATTGGGTTAAGAACAGTCCAACGCATTATTAAAAACTGGAAGAATAGTGGGGACCCATCATCTTCAAGGAAGAAATGTGGCCGGAAAAAAATCCTGAATGATCGTGATCGGCAATGTGTCAGAAGTGGAACCTAATTACTTCTTTTGTAAATTAGTTGCTTTTTCATGCAGCCATGGATGGATGCACACAGCTACCTTTGGTTCTCCAATGGCCTTGTCTTATTTGAAGCTTTTCATCAAGAAATATGAACTGGACGTCTCAACAATCCATGTTACCAAACTGTGCTGTTAATTGCAACAATGAGTTTACAGAAGATCGATTCATATTCAGTAAATCTGAGTGAGAAAAAACTAAAATAGAGGAAAACTGGCGACTTTAAAACACACACTGGAACTCGTTTATTATAAGCTTATTTTTATTTTCATTATATACACAGGATATAAAGACTCACACACTTCTGTTCAAAATACAAGACAAACATAAAATAGGTTGTACAGGACCATACAAGACAAACTGACATCTGCTGCCTAAAAAATGAAAAAAAATGCCAAACTGTAGTATCTCATGGTGAAAACTGTAAAAACAAAAAAAACACACACATCATATAAAAATATACATACTATCATGCAGCTTATTTCAGCTTCCTGATGGCAAAGCAAGTTCAAACACAAACCTACAAATCAGTCCGTGTGCTGCCTCTTTGTTCTGCACTTCATTTACTGTACATTACATAAACTTCCAGTCATATTCAATGAAGTAGGAGAGTAATAACTGATGCTGCACTGAAGCGAAATGAGATCTGTTTTCTCTGAAAACTGTGGTGCGGGCTTGGTGTCATTTCAGCTTGTTTGAGGCACTGAAATATATCGAATGCAAGTGGCGATGACAAGAGGGAAAGCTTGGCTTGGAATAAGATCTTCACCTCAGCACGCTCAGCAGAGAGGACGACCGGCCGGCCGCCTGACTGACTGACTGACTGACTGACGGAGCATTATTCTCTGTCCTCTCGCCTTCTCTTGTTTCTTTCTTTCAGTGGTCAGCAGAAAGACAGTAGGAGGAAAACAGCTGAGGTTTAGAAAGAAAGCGTCAAGGAAAACCAGCCTTTAAACAAATATGTGGTAAACACAAAGGGAAGGAGAAGTGTTGCTGATGCACAGCTACGGCAGCAGAGTCTGCTGATGTGCCGACCAGTCGGAGAGTTCTTTGACGTAGTTTGGACAGAACAGATCGCTGTAGCTCTCGGTGTGCAGAGAATACGGGTTATCGTCGCCTGCACCTGAGGAGTACAAAAGAACATTTAAATAGACAGAAACCGATGGGATCATAGGTGTTATCTAAGAGTTGCTGTATTCTATTTTATACTCTTTTACAAATAATGCATGTGATCATACGCACACATGAACATTTTATTTTAATTTATCTGTCATTAGATGAGGCCAAATGCTTTGTCGACTATTTTTTATCGTCCTTCTCACATTACAACTCAGTACAAAGTCCACATGTTGTCTTTCTTAAGCACTACATCTGCTCTGTAGAAGATTTTAAATGACCAAATAAACAAATCGCACTAATAAGTGAAATACAATACCTACTGGAATAAACTGTATGCTTCCTTTTCATGCCTGCATTTAAAAAATTGAATGAGAAACATAGTAAAGGGACATTTTTTTAGTTTTTTTGTCTTAAAAACTGGATGAATTGTTTTTCATCGTGTAAATGCTGCACTGCGGTTTTGAGTTGTCCACGTCAGAGCAGCATAAACTTGCCATAACTAAATAAGAAGCTACGTCTTTAGCTTTCATGATGAGATCTGAGCAAGATTTTTCTTGTTTGAGCTGGAAACACGTCATCTATGTCAAAATGAAAGTGAAACACAATGTGCAGCTATTAAAGACAAAATAAATTTAAAAGTTACGTTAATCTTGTGATTTTAGTCATTTTAGTGGCAAATCCTTACATGAAAAGAAAATACATGTTGTAGAGAATGTGTTGTGTTTCACTTTATTTCGTACAGTGCCAGTGGTCCCACAAAGTGTGAGTTCTCCATCCTCTCTGCTCCGCTGTCTGGTTCCACAGGTCTGCGTTGCTTAAGTGGTCCATCAGCTGCGTGAGACAAAACAGATTGAGTCAGTGAAACACACATCTAGAGCACCATGGAGCTGCTACAATGTTGTTTCAAGGAGATCAGTTATTTTGCCACTAAGAGCATCTCTGTGACAAGTGAAATCTTTGGTCAGAAAACCAACATTTAGTCAGTCAGTCATCCTAAGAGCTTTAGTAGAAGGCAACTGGTCTGTGGACGGTGAATGGCCGAGTAACAACCGAAGAGTCACATGCTGCTCGATGGGCACGATTTAAGATGTTCATGTTGGAAAAACTCTCTGGGGGGGATCTTAAGACTGCATTATAAGTACATGATAGCTGGTGTTGCAGAACCCCTCCTCTGTTTAGTGACAGCTGTTCCAGTTTGACATACATACCTTTCTTCACTCCATCTGTGTTCTCCGTCAGGTCTTTCTAAAGCAGCCTTGAATTCTTTTCTCATGAAGTGTCATCACCATTAACATCTTAAATCCTCCCACAACTGGCAGGTTCACAACCATTCACAGCTCGAGGCACATGAGTCCTGGGTCATTAATGAGCCACTGGTCACGTGAGTTGAGAGTGACAGGGGTCCTCACATTTAATTTAATGAAAGTCATGACATTGTTTTTGAATTGTGGTTCAACGGAAATAAAAAACAAACAAACAAACAAACAAAAAAACAAAAAAACAGCAAACAAGCATAATTACGGAAGCACATTGTTGAACAGCCCTTTGAGCCAATCACTGTCATCAAGTGTTTTCTGTAACTCTCAATCAGACTTCTGCACCTGTTGACAGCTATTTGGATTTTGGCCCACTGCTCATCAACTCTAATTAGTGCTCTAATTTGTCCAGGACAGTTTTTTGTTTTTTTAAATTATTCTTTTCAACCACAATTCAAAAGCAATGCCTTATTTCACTAAATTATAATTTGGCAAATTTTTTATTTATTACTACTTGTTTCAGTTTCGAGTTATTTGAGTGACGATTGTGAATTTTGCCTTTTCTTTAATGGAAGGGTATGAAAACATTTGAGGACGACTGTACTTGGGACTACCAGTTAGAACTGAAGAAACCTCTTGGATGAAAACTGAAACATTTTTAAGAACCAAAAAGAGAATTCCAGTTGTCTTTTAATGAAGCTCTTAGGATGACCTGTATAACTGAGGCAGTAGGTTAAAGATATGGTACCTTAAAGACAGCGTCATTCTGTTCCTGGTCTTCGGTTTTGGCCTCCCACATCCCTGCAAGACAAAATAAGTGTCATCCCTCTGTTGCTACAGAGGTAGAATCTCTAATCATCAACATCCTGAGCAGCAACAAAGCACTTAGACAACAACCTTCCTCACCGTGTGGCTGAGGGCTGCTTAATGTGTCTTCTGCAGCAGTCTCTTCCTTCTGTGGTGTGTCTGAAATGGATCTTGTTGTTGCGTGTTGCCAAGTGTGTGTGCTGTACGCGTCATCGTATGCACATGTTCCTAAGCTGGTCTGTCTTTCCCGGGGTCTGCTGAAAAATCGCAGCCCTGAGAGAGGAGGAGAAAGCAGGACAGTGCTGTCACACTGGAGACAGTTGAAGCGATTACTGCGTTGTAGGTGTGTTTCTTACCTCTCCTGCGTCTGTGTGTTTGTGGGTTGGGCAGCATCCTGTACACTCTGTAGGCATTGTTGCCTTTCTTCCTGCTGTGCTCCCGCAGCTCACAGATGTCGGGCAGAGAGTTTAAGGCACAGCGGAAATTTGCCTTCCATGTCTTGGGATCTGGTTTGTCTTTGCCGGGGCGGTACCGTCCTG